GCAGTGCGGCGGAAAATCCCTGCCGTTCTTCAACTGAGATGAGTTGAACAGTTGAACAGTTTTATTCAACGGTGATTGCCACAATAACCATCAGGCAAGAGTATTCATATGCCATCATGGGTCCACTTGTCATAAATACACGAAAACCATTCCCACTTCGAAAAAAAAAGACACTAAAAGAATTAAAACGATGCAAATGCAGGATTCATATTATAGACCACCTTTATACAAAGGTGAGGAAGGAGGGGGTATATTACAAATGCCCGTAATATGGCATGTGCGTTCGCTTTGCTAAATTCGTCCATTAAAATAGATTTCACAATGTGTTTATGTAATACGAAGTGTGTTGGCATTATTACTGCGCATGTAATATGGGCAGTCACTGAAGCTCAATCACAAATGTTCTTTCACTAGCATGCATGTAAACGCGGGTCAGGTTGATTTTTCGTCACTGGAGGAAACGTAGCTGCACACACAAAGAAACTTACCGTCCCAGTGTGACGCATAGTAGCATTCCAGTCCATGTAACGCCATAAGGAACTCAGTGATTCCGCGCAGGTAAACGTGGACACAGCCTTGCCATCTAGCTGTATAGCATGTGTTTTCGCCATTAATTGTATCACTATAGCTTCGAAGGACTGTTGAGGGCGCTGGTTAGCGCACCTTGCTCATCACCGATATATGTCAAAAGTGAGAACGACGATTAGGGGTGAGCTTTTGATTGTAGATCGACAGGCGGCCTTGCACACACATCCATTTGCGATCTGTTAGCACCTATAGAGGTGACAGCAAAGCAGGTAGCGGGGGAGAGGTGCCTGTGTATTCACTCCAAAAGGCAAGCCTTGAAATATCAGCGACAGAATCGGCTTTGATAAGTCCGCCATTGCCCCGCCGCGGTGGTCTAGTGGCTAAGGTACTCGGCTGCGGACCCGCAGGTCGCGGGATCAAATCCCGGCTGTGGCGGCTGCATTTCCGATGGAGGCGGAAATGTTGTAAGCCCACGTGCTCAGATTTGGGTGCACGTTAAAGAACCCCAGGTGGTCGAAATTTCCGGAGCCCTCCACTACGGCGTCTCTCATAATCATATGGTGGTTTTAGGACGTTAAACCCCACATATCAATCAATCAACAAGTCCGCCATTGCCAACGGCCTCTAAGTTCAGTTCTTAATTAGAGCGGAACATATCGAATACCAAGGCCATCATATTCACATTATGCTTACGCTTCGTAAAGAAAAGGTGCCGGTCGATCGTTATATTTGCACGTTTTATAATCAAATGCAGGTCAAAGAGCTCTTTTATAGAGCTGTGTCACGGTTCTCAATGAAGTGAATTTGCTAATGCCAGCGCGAGGTCCTCCAGGCATTTTCTCCCCATATATTCTAGCGCTCAACCATCACAATCATGAACAGTTTAGAATAATAAGGGCGAATGTCACTATCCTGGACGAATTTTCTTCGTTATTTTCCTAAATACAATGAGAACGAGAAAGAGTGGAAGAGAGCAGTCAGGCAGCTTAGCTAAGTTGCTTCTTTTCTTGATACAGGCAGCTTAGCTAAGTTGCTTCTTTTCTTGATACTCTGAATGGATAAATAATAAAACAAGAAAAACGACGAGATGTTGTGCACGCGTACACACGACAGTTTGATGGCACCTTCAAAAGCAGTCGCGCAGTCTGAACATCTTTAAGAGCCGAGAGCCTCAAGGGGGCTGTATATAGTGGAGCGTTGCGTGACGTGCCATTATGTTTTGTGAGTGATCCGTCGTACAATCGGCAAACAGGAATGCCGTTCTTTGTCAAAAGAAAGGTATTTATGGCAGAGGACATGTTCGACATCCACGCAGCAACCAATGTCAATAAGAAACGTCGGCGTTTCTAACCGCACCGCTCAACCCAAACCAAAATAAGTCGCCTATAAAGGAACGCGACAGATCTGCCAGGCGTGGCAGAATGCAGCGACCGTCTAGTACTCTGATTATCATGTTTCGTGCGTGGAGAACTGTGCTTGAGATGAATTACGCCCCAGCATTTGTTGAGCGCTAAAGCGGTCACGAACCAACCCTCGTGCTTGGGGGAAAAGCATCCTCAAAAAAAAAAAAAAAAACATACGCTGTCGTGAACTGCTCACCTAGCAGTCGAGCACGGCAAGGAAAGTTTGCAAGAGGCGTGCCACGTTGACATTTTCTTGGTCGTCCTGTTTTCGTATACAGAGGCTTGCCCTCTTCAGAGGTGCCGGCGCCTGTTGTTTGGCGTCACACAGCCGACCGTCTGCTATTGGCCAATAGCCAACACAAATCAAGAGCGGCGTTTGCATCGGATGCGCTTCTAGCCATGGGGTGTCACCGCGTGTCGGCGCCGCGCTCTAATGCCAGCTAATACTACACAGTCGACACACTTGTGTTCAAGGTACCACAACGGAATTGAACGATCGTGTTCCATGACGCGCGCTCAGCGTCACGGCATGCGTTGACGTCACTTCTTTGCCCCGTGCCATCACTCCCTGCGTAGCTTCCAGCGCGCACGTCGGGGCGAGAAAAGAGACTTGAAGCGTGCGAAATGTTCCTCTAACTGTGCTCGTTCTGAATAGATACGAGATTTTTTTTTTTTTTTGCGCAATCCATTCGTGAGTCAATGAACTCCGATACTAAGGTCATTCGATGATTACAATAAAAAGTGGTTCAAAATCCGTTTTAAGTGATGTTTTGACGCCCTGCGACTGGGAAAAAAAAGAAAGTGACGCGTTTTTGTTGAGACGGCGCCAAAGAATGCCAGAAGACCACAATATGCAAGGCGGCACAACCACACTTGTTTTTATTCTTGGTTCTTACACCATAGAATTCACGTCTTTCAATCAAAGGCAAACAACAATTGCGATACTTATGTACAGCATGAATTAAAAGACATGTCATGAAGCGTGATTTAATTGAGTCATCCTACAGGACAAATCGTACACGTTCTACAAACCCCTGTTTTGCAGCAATCTTGCTTGACTTCGATGCGAGCCTGCACGATTTCTGAATTTCTTAAAGCATTTTGTTTTCTTCTTTATGCATAGCCAAGACAACATGCTTGAGTGAGAATGAGAACTACGGAATCGTGATGTTGCGCGCCCAATATATATATATATATATATATATATATATATATATATATATATATATATATATATATATATATATATATATATATATATATATATATTATATATATATATATATATATATTTGGTGGTTTCGCTAACACATTTATCCAACATAAGCCAGGATTGCCGCAACTTTTCCCACGTAAAAACTTACACATATACAGGTCAACACTCGTTCCACTGTAATAATTGGCTTATAATCACGCTTGCATTTTTGTTTTATAAATTGTTAATTCAATTTATTCAATTCACCACTTGAGAGAAATTGATCTCGCAAACTCGCACACATGTTTTTCCTCTGCCTAAGTTACGCGCCTAATTTCAAAAGGAGAGAACCGCTAATTTCTTTCAGCATTGGTATCGACGCACGTTATAAGTTCAGCAATTCCTCCAGGTTCCCTCTTCATGATCACATTGAAATTTATTAATAGTACTTCTAATTGAATAGAACTGTTTTTGTGCATACAAAAGCCATTTGCGCTACGATCGCTGAGTTATAGTGTTGGCAAATAATATCCTGGGCCACTGGACGCTCGACAAAATATTGGCAAGTTTTTTTTTTTTGCATTATATTTTCACTAGAACCGCACCGAATGATGTCGTTATATGATGTCACTGTTGCACTGTTTCATTGCCACTGTTGCATGTTGCTGCGTTTACATGTCGGTCGTTATCGCAGCCAAGTGATGCACCAGATGTTTACTGATTGATGCGGATGCCTGATGCTGCTGCTTATTTTGGCCTTGACGATTGTACTACTTTTCTGGCTTTTCGATATGGATGCGACGGCGTCTGGAAATAATTCCGTGTGGTTGGTGTTTCTTGCGCTGCTATTTATTTATTATTTGTTATGCACCTACAGTGCCGAATTGCGGCATTGAAGCAAAGGTGCGAGACAAAGGACTATCAATACTGCCCCGGTAATGCGTATACGACGAAAGGAGGCATTACAGATCAAGCACCTCGAACAAGCCGACCGTGATGCCATATATATGTGTGGTTGTGGCATAGCATTTATGCTAATGGAGTCGCCGACACAGCCAGCTTTCGTTAACGCTTGCTCGTCACAACTGTTTTCAGTACACTAATCTTTGATGAAACGTGAACCGTGCAGGTTCAGTCTGAAATGTTGAAAAATAAAATGTTGAAAAATAAAATGGTTCATGTTGAAAAATAAAATGGTTACCCCAATTAGCAGACGCATCCTGGTCGTCCATCAATCTGTCCTTAGCGCAAGCTCCACTACAATCAGAACCATGCGCATTTTCTTTTTTTTTTTCTGCGACATAAATGTTTTTTTTTTATTTTTTTCAGAAACTTTTAGGCGAGACCATGTTCGTTTATTCACAAGCCTAAGCGCACGACAAAAGTATGCACTAACAGAGAGCACGACGAATAAGTTTTAGAAGACAGGCGATTTTTCTGGTGCGAGCACACCGCACATATAGTCTACAAACAGCCACTGAGCTCTGCCTACTGCTCAGAAAATGAGATCATCCTACAAAACAGGGGTCAATGATATATGCTCTGCAAAAGCCAGATATCACGTTTGGTGGCCCCAGGCTACCGAAAATGGGGGACCCTCACACACAGCTCGGGCCGCACACATTTCTATGATGACACGATTCACTTGCCTACGCACACACGACAATTGCACAGTTTCGCACATTTCGTAGGCGACGTGAAATTAAAAAAAAGCTTTTGGTTCCACAATGTGCGCAGCGAAAAGCCGTTCTCGCGTTAGACAACATTCTAAACTTCCCTATAAATGACATCACTTGGACCGCCGTCACAACATCATCGCTTCGTCACTCAGAAAAAAAATTAAAAAGCGTTCGTGCACGCATTCAGTCTTAAAAAACAGGGGGGGGGGGGGGGGGGCAAGTAAATAAGTTACAGAAATAAAAGTCTTCATTTATATATAATATATATGTATATATAATATATATTTCATTCCAAACAGCCGACATTTCTTATGTACACAGTTTTACATTTAAATACCAGTCGTCTCCTCGACGAGAAGAAAGGGGGAGGGCATTTCAGCGAAACGCCAGGTTCCTGAAGCTTAACGCAGGTGTCAGGCAGAGTACGCAAGCATACACGCACAAATCACATCGAACAGATCAGCCACAGCCGGTCCGGTGTCCAGGTCGAAAGACAAGGGGGCAGCAGCGCGCCGCAGACGTTATACGAGAACGCGGCTTGTCGCAGCCGCTGATAGCGCGCCGTCTCCAGGGAGGGGGGGGGGGGGCAACACACGAGGGCGCAACTCTCCTTCGGTTCGCTGTGCTTACGTGCGCTGCCTTCCCGATGAACCCCTTCCGTTTCTCACTGAGATACGGTTGGACAGGACAGATGCAACTCTCCGAGAGCTTTGTTCTTGTGCACGTCTCTTCTGAGCTTATCACGAGCGAAGTTCGTTTCCCGCTTCCTCTCAAACTGCAGCAGCCTTACTCGCTTTCATTTCGCTGTCTCCCGGGGACCTAGTGCCAACTCGCTTAATTAGCCCCCGGCAACGGCCGACCTTGCTTTCCAAACGGCCTGCGAGGCCGAGCGTCGCACTCGCCAGAGGCATTCGGGGATATAAGCGGCCACGACGTGTTTGGTGAAGTACGCCTCGCGTTGGAGTACAATAGCCGCGTCGTTGTCGGACTGTGACGAGCCGTGAAGGTACTTTCGCAGAAAGAACGCGTTTGATCTTGTATGTACAACAGAGGGGATGCGGAGGACAGCCCAGTTTGAGACTCGTCAGAGCCGAACGAGGGAATTGCGATAATTGAAAGCTTCTTGTTGCTTATCGCAGTTTTCGTAAGCATTACGTGAATACACTCCTCCCCTTGGCAGCTCATGTTAGCTAACTACTAAGAAGAAGAGTTCTGCAGCACGTGAAAAAAAAAAGGGCATTTATACGGGATGAAATTTGTCCTGCCTCGTTCCTCAAATAAATATTAATAGGATAATTTGAAAAGCATGACTCATGAATTATTCTTTAAACTCAAAGCCGGCTGAGCGAACAACGCTGCTGCTGCCTAAAGGACCCGTGTACATTACTTCCTGCTTCATATGGAAGAAAAAGGGAGCAAAAACAAAATGATGCCCTCCCCAACGCGTGTACATCAGACGCGTTCTTATTTTGTTCGGTGAACATTGCACAATTCCAAAGAGCACAAATACACTCGTGTCCGAGGACAGTCCACGTTTGTCGTCATAGTCCGAGAGGAGACTGCAGCGGGGGACACAACAGCACGTCCTTCGCCGTCGGAGGTCGCCAGAGGACGCGGCGGCAGCGGAGCGCGTCGGCGGTTGCCGCAACGACTGAAGCCCTTTCGTCTCTGTCCGTGATCGGCGCACCCGTTCGCACAGTCTATAAATAATGGCCGCGGCCGATAAATAGGCCGTCGTTACGAGCGGAAGCCGCCCGGCGGGGAAGTGGGCGCCGCGTCGCTGGCGTCTGGCGTGGTGGCCGGCGAGCCCGCGGCCGACGGGCTGTCCTTCTTCGGGTACACGTAGGGCGCGTAACGGTACAGTCCAAGCGAGTGCAGTGTCTCCGTGTGCGACGCTGCGGGCCGCATCATGGGCGGGAACAGCGCGCCGCCCGCCGCCGCCGCCGCAGCGGCCGCGGCTGCTGCTCCGCCGCTCAGCACCGTGGCCAGGTGCGGCGGCAGAGCCGCGCCGGCGGCGGCCGCCGCCCACTGGGACCACAGCTGGGCCGGTATGCCCGCGGGCGGAGGGGCGCGCACGCCCAGGGCGTACAGCGACGGCTGCGCGTACAGTTCCATGCCGGGCGGCTTCCACAGGAGCGACGCTCGCGCCACGGCCGCGGCCGCCGACGGAGGGCCCAGGCCGCCCAGTAGTCCCTTCTCGTGCAGGTAGGCCGCCGTCTCGGGGTCGCCGCCGTTCTCCAGGAAGGTGCGCAAGGGCGTGCGCGCGAATGGGTGGTCGATGATCAGCGACTCCATGGTCTCCCTGCGAAACAAGCGGGTGTTCTCCTGAGGCCTGTCAGCTCGCACGAGCTAGTCACAGCCTTCGACTTATATAGACCACGCGGAGCACTCGCAACAGTTTTTTTTTACAACTTAAAGTATAATATATTCAAACTATTGTCACAAACAGAGTGAAAGAATAAAAATTCAATCACGTGGGACTTTTGGCCGTGAGCGGAAACCTTTATTTTAGCGAATAACACAAATTGCTAAGTTTGTAGTCTGGAATAACTAAACAAGTTTCTCCATTGCGAAAATCTACCTTGGTAAAACAATATGTTTGCGGGCAAACATGGAGAAGAGAACGTGAACACGAACGGCATCTGTGGCTACAGTCATCAATCAGAACTTTCCCTCAAGGTGCATCCAACGGGGTTGGAATGCTTCTTTTATGCGTGGATCTTGCCTTCTTATGAACTTCAAATCATACGCTATAGAAGACAGGTTGGCTGCATAGAAAAAAATTACCAGTTCCGTCTGCACAGACAGACATTCGAGTTTTCCGCCGCCGTTTCCTTTCGACCAATGCTCAACTTCTCTGGCCAGCATTACTGTTCTTGATCATTCGTGCCCGTCTGTTTGCCTTCTTAATACGAAGCACACGGTCATGGCTGAAAATACACTTGTTTTTTTATTTCTTTGTAATTTCTTCGAATACCAAAGCACAACATTTCATTCTTTGGTGCGTATACCTAAATGCGTGTTCGGTTTATAATGTTTAACCTGCAGGTACTCGGAAGTTTTTGCGTATCTTCCTCGTCAATAAGCGTCAACATGCCGTGGCCGGAATCTAAAATCGACCTTGGACACCGAGAATTACTTCACCACACAAACACAGAGAATACCGCTTGACGTGTTCAATAACGGTTTACGTGATCATTCGAAACGTCCTTAGCCAGCACAGCACTACACATGAATCCCACCTCCTGGATCTTACAGTCATTTCGAAGCGACAGCATACGCGAGCTCCCATCAACAAAACTGACAATGATGGACCGGCTTTACCGGCGGTATCGATTGCTAAATCATAAACACGCGTTTCGACAAGCTGTCGACTAGCTGAGCGCTGATCAGTTCAACGAACGCGCTAGTTGACAAACGGCCAAACGTGCCACGAAGTCCGGACGGCTAAAGTTTAGGTGCGCGGTGCCTTTGGAATTCCTCGCGGGTGAGCGGCGGGAAAAGACGCACCGCCAATATAGGGTCCCCCCACCGCGATTTGCTGTCAGCGGTCGCCAGCGAACGCCGCTATCAAACGGACGGTTCCACCACCGCGCGTCTATATACGGTGGAGGCGGCCTGGGCAAATGCCGCCTGTAATCTCAACAACTAGCGTTTATCGGACGGCGCATCTACACTACATCTCGGGGAACTTTTTAAGTTGCAGTACCCCTGTGCGGAAAGTGGCTCAGCCCCTCTAAAACACGAAACTGAGAGAAGGCGAGATCGCCCCCTCTAAAGAGAGGCAAATAAATTAGAACAAATGCGGCCTTTGCCCTTTCCCTTTTTATAGGATCACGTGCGTGTCCTTCGAAGGCACGTCAACGCATAGTTGACGATTCCGCAGCCTGCCCAGGACCCAGGCGGAATACCGTGATTTATTTTACAGCGGCCTTCGAGCACGGCGACATGCAGCGTCCGCGCGCGCACGCGGACGGCAGCAGCGCCCTCGTGCGAACCACGGCGCAGGGCGAGCTGCGCGATCACCCTCCGGGGGCGCGCTTCACGGCCTTGCGGCACGACCTGTCCCTCTCTTTTTTTTTTTTTTTTTTACTAGGCCCACGTGCATGCTTCGGCAGCAGCAACTGCAGCGCGTTTAGTCGACATTTTTTCTTGCGCTTCATCGACCTGCACAGTGGGTAGCCCACAACAGCAACGCCGCGGCCAAGGCTCGCAAGGCGCTGGTCTCTCCACTTTACGTATCTTTAGCTGTCCGCCTATCGGAAACACTGTGCAAGCTTGGGACACAACCCATCTTTGGTCGCATCGTTTGCACGGCGCCTTCTCTAACTACCTCTCGTACACGTTAGCGAGCACCTTGCTATGAACTCTGTAAGCGGTGTTCTTAAGAAGTATACGCAGAAATAAAAAAAGCAAGCTTTTCTCTCATTAGTTTGATGAAAATAGTATCAGCGAGAACCTTACCTTTCAAGTTCTGTAAGCCGCGACGAATCTCTGAACCCTTTCGCAAAGGGGTTGCTGTCTATTTTTAATTTCGTTATCTGAAATAGAGAAAAGAAAACGTTTGTTTACTGACAGGTACGAAAAAAATCATCTGGTGAAGTATCCACAAAAGAGTGCGCGCTATACACCATCCATGCACAATTTGAGGATTCATGCACTCTGCCGCATCATAATACAACAGATAACTTTGTTTTCATTGGTCACTCCAGGTAGCCTATTAGTGTAGTACGTCTAGACTACGGTGTAAGAATGGTCTAAACATTATCAGTTACGAGTTACGTTTCCCTGTCGGCAAAAAAAAAAAACAATGGCAACTTTTTTTTGACACCTCCGGGTTCGGGACAGATGCCAAGTGAGCACTCACCAGTTGATTTTGGTACGCCGTGACAGCTGTGAAGACCGTCTCGGGAAACACGTACGTTCGAAACTGTTCAGCTTCGAGATCGTTAACGGGAACGTTCGGGGCGTTATGCCGTCGCTTGACCAGATGTATACGGGGTTGATACTTGTGCATGGAGTTCAGGACAATCTGGACGGACAAACGTAAAAATATTATTGTTAGCGCAGGTTTTCCATGAGCCGCTACAGTCACACTCGATGCGGCCGAAATGCAAAATAGAAGAAAAAACACCTTCCTGTACATTGACTTTAAAGGCCTGACCTCACATATCCGTCACAACGCGTCGGCGCGCGTCTTTTTAACGCGGCGTCAAGCCCTTTCCTTTATGAAAGGAGCGAGCGCGCGGATTCGCGTAGCCACGTGCCCACTCCCTCTATAGGAGAGGGCGCGGCGCCGCGTCAAAAAGCCTCACGCTGACGTGCTGCGACGGATGAGTGGGGTCAGGCCTTAAAACTCCCATACAGCGTGCCTCAAACTGTGGTTCTGGAAAATTAAGCACAAGAATGTAAATAAACCTTAAACAGTACCCGAAGGGTCCAACGTGCAAAAAGCACAAGGTTCTGGAAAGGCAACTCGGTGGACTTACCAAAGTCGTTTCAGCTGTTTTATACGACATTTTACATCAGATGAAAACTTTTTACTCCTAGTCACCTAGCTTGGTATTATCTGTTTTCTTCTTTTTTAGTTAAGGTACCGTATCACAAACAGACGTTATTTCACTTTGCACAAAACGATCCTGGATGTCACTGTTATTTCATTGCACAATGTTCTGATTAAAGGAAGCACATGAGTCAAACGCTCGCCACCTCTTCGTTTCCACACACCCCCTTCTCCACCCCCTTTCATTTGAAAACACCAGAACACGATACAATAGAATGTAAAATGTTGGTCCCGACGAAGGACAGGGCATGTCGCGTGACCCAATCGCGACCCGGTGGGCCCAATACAATTGTTTTCCTTTCAATTCAATTCAATGCTATATTTTCATGAATTTAAAAGCTCGTTAAAAAGCACTGTAGCACATTCACTCACTCACTCCCTCTTTCACTCACTCACTCACTCACTCACTCACTTAATTATGGTTAACAATGTTGTCAATCAATTTAACGCGACAGTTGTTAAATCTCGCCTAGTCAGCTTTTGGGCGCTCATAAAAAAAAACGTCATTCTGGTTCAGGGAAACGTTTCTTTCAACACGAAAGTGTTTTATGCCGGCATCCACCCCGGTCCGTTCACGTACTATCGTCACGCATATGACGTTGTAAAATACGTGCTAATAGATTGCAAAAAAAAAAAGAATTATAATAAAAGATTCCATCGCGGGGTGTGAAGCCAGCGACTTCTCATAGCCCGGCGCTAACCACTAAGCCACTGCAGAGCGCACATTGACGAGGATGCATATACACCATAAACCCTTTGGCGGTTTCCAGAGCTTCGTAGCTTCAGCGCGTTTTCGTCATCAGTAGCTTGATGACGCTAAGGTCTCACGGCCAGCGCGCTCTGAAGGCTGTCGCCTCAAACCTCTAGCGTTTCGTTACACGCCGCCTCCACGGAGCGTGGTCTCTCCTGCACGCGCTTATCAGACTCAGAATTCGGGAAAGCACGAAGGTCACTTCGCTCGCTGCCGCGGTCGCAATTATGAAAGGAGCTCGCTGCGCACAGACGAAGAAGAAATAATTGAGACAGCTGTTCGCGCTTATCCAGTGTATACGTGTGCGTTCATTTCGTCTGTCTTTTTACTTGCACAGTGCACTTTAGGTGCCGAGCTGTGACAGTTGTCAGCCCTCGCACGTCCTGTGTATGCTCATTTCATGCGCGCTTTCTGCTTGAGGTGAGCGCTGCAAGTTTCGAGCTGGTTGTCGTTCTTCGCGTGACTTTACAATTTGTTACTGTATACCATTCATTCCTTCGCCATTGTGGGTAAACAACGCACAATAAATGCTCAACTACCTCTGTGAAGGCACTTTCAGCTTTACCGATTCATAGGGGCCAGCGACGTTTTTTTCCCCTCGGCTTTACTACTAAAGATTAAGCTGTATTAAGTTTGTCCTGCGGAACCGGCACTATATCCCACCAGAGCACTTGCATTTTTCTTTATCATGTACATGATTGCCCATAGAATTCGTTTTGACTGAAGGCTGACATCGGCTAAATGTCAACCAAGCCTGTAAGTATTCCTTATAATTCGCTTTAACAACTGTTCATTTCGCACACACCGCATGCGTGCTTTGCTCGGACGCGAAAAAAAAAAAAATAAGGAGAAGAAAGGAAAGCACAAGTAGTGAAAGGAGAACATGGCGACACACATTTCGGCTGTACAAAGTCACGCGTAACACGGCAGGTAGGTGGCGGCTGAAGTCGGCGTATGACTCACGCCCAGGCAACGTCGCCAGTGAATAGGCCCTTCGCTCGTCAGCTTCTCCGTGGCTGCCTGTCGGGCTTTCGGCTCGATCGCATGCAGCGTAGCCTTTATATGCGTGCGCGCTGTCGGTATGGCAAACTATTAGCCGACCGACAGATTGCCACCCGCGGTGACGGATTCGCGATCCATGTATGTCTGGCTGAACGTGAAAAAAATGACCTCGTACGTCAGTATACCATGTTATTTATAGTATCGTACGGCTTACAGACAAAGACTGTGCTATCTCACTTAACCGAGCCAATCATCAAGACTCCTCTTCTTTCAAATTTTGAAGTTCGACCACTTCGCCGGAGGCAAGGGCTTACCGCTTCCTATAATAAAGCGAATGAAATATTTCGCGTTCGAGTCGCATGTTGGAGGACGAAGTGCTGATCCGTCAGAGAAGCGGAAGTATCAAGGAGACCGGCCATCAACGAGTCCTTTTATCTTCCTCTTCTTCTTTTCTTTTTTTTGTCATTCGGGGAAGCCCACATATATGTGCTCACAGTGTCACGTACATTCAACGAAAAGATATATACTGCGCGTCCCCGATAACCAACTATGATTTTTAGAAGCGTTAAACCTCGCAATGTGAAACAGCCTTGTCTGCGAGTTCCTTCAAACGATTATTTTCATCCATCTAATGCACATAGTAGAGACGCGATTATGGAAGACGCGCGATCAAGGGAGAGAGCGCTGGAGACACGACACCTCGGTATATTCATACGAGGTTGTACGGCGTCATCATGAAGTCTGCCTATTTTTCCGTGAAACCTGACGTGCAAGCCCCCTACGAAACCTGCATTTTCCGCACGACGCTTTAAAAAAAAACAGAAAGTTATTTGCTCCTCAAAACATTATCCCCAAATTCACCACAATATCATCCTCAAAACGAAGAAACTTGAACACATTTAAATTAAGCAATGTTTCTGTTTTAACACCTACCTCTACTGATGGTCGTTAGTGCTCACTAATTGTCTGAATGTGTTTTTGTCTCTCGCATTCGTGAAATCAATAGAAGAACTGATTCTGACTTCTCATGTTGGATACATGAACAATCCAAACGATTTGCTACGTGTTCGTATTCCGAGAATACCAATCATTCTGCTTTATTTATTCGCATTACTTCAAGGCCTTACAGTATTGAAAGATGCATTCAATGCACTAAGTCACATTATTTAAATTCACGAAAGGGCAGCGATGCAGATCAGCTCGTTCATACTAACTATATACAGCCGAAAGAGTTCTTGTGTTAAGAAAAATAACAGTTTTGCCCCACAAAAATCATGCGTGCGGAGGGGGTAAAGGCGGCAAAGAGTGTGAGAGTATGATAGAATCATTTTGGCAATTTGGAAATTATATTGGTAGACAATACATTCACGCATGCAATGCGTGTCAGACAGAAAAGACCGAAGTTTACTACGCATAACTTTATTTTTTTATTTTATCCGTTGATACGCTGCGCGCATTATAATGATGATGTAGCCAACTTGTGGAGCCATGGGTTGGTGCCCCTTTTCCTCTCCCGCAGCGTACGAAAAAAAAAAGTTTTCCTTTTTTTGTTTGTTTTTGTTACACATCTGTCATTCTTCTTTTTTTTTGTCCTACTTGCAAAAGTTGTAAGGTTTTTCAGCCATTAAACTATTATTTCCATCAATAGTTGTGCTGCCAGATAACGATGAGCTTCATGTTTGGCAGAAGAAACTATAAAAAATATTGTAGTTCTTAAAACTTGCTATACCGCATCCTGCCATCAATAAAATTGGTTCATTCAATTAATCTTGAAGTTTTTAGCTGATCTACATTTTTTTAATTGAATATGCCAGTAATTGCAACGGCATTACAAAAAAGCGTTGCACCAGCATCCGAACCGTGCTGTGTGTCACAATGACGATAGAGCAAAAGATTTTTTTATTAGTGATGTCGAGACAAAACACGGAAAGAGAAAATGAAACAGGCTGGCGATTGTTACTGAAAGGGACACCACGAGACCACTCGTTCGAGAAGAAGAGGCGTAAATGGGAAAGATCAGAGGGATGATATAAGGAAATATAGGCGTCACATCTCATGCAGTGTATACACGAGCGCCAAACATGGGAGTGTAAAGGCTTGGGGTAAATATGCTAGAGCACAGCCTCACCAGCTTTATAAATATAGAGTCGATTCACCGCCACTCGGTAGCCAAGCACTGTTCGAGGAAGATTAAACTGCTGGAACTTACTTGGCCGCACACAGCGAGAACTGCAGAATGTTGGGCATTTTACAGAATGACAATTGAAGTGTTCCACTGGCCACAAGCGATGCGGCTAAAAAGAACAAGCTGAACCAATAAGCCACACATTTTGCTCCCGAACGTTGTTCACGGCGACAGCCTTTGCACACCGAGGCCTGTTTTTGCGAAAAGCGCTTACGGATGGTTCGTGAGACAAAATTACTAGCAGTCCTCACGCCACGAACATGTAATAATAGCGAAGGGGTCTGAAAAGCCTCGTTAATTCGACACTGAGTATTCGTATGGTCCTTTTTTGCAATTTAAAAAGAGGGGCGTCATTAAGCAATTTTTATTGGAAAGAAATGCTGTTTAATCTAGAAAAAAAAAAGAGTCCAATAAATTTTCATTGCACCATCGTATATTATACCCGCAATTGAAGGGAGCTATATTGCTTTCTCTCTCACATGTTTCTTCTGAATCTTTCTGGGCACTTTTATTGCACTCGATTTCATACAC